TATGAACTTTAGCATGATAGGGCCAAAGGCCTTAAAACAATATACAGCCATGTCCTTGGGTTCCACATCCAGGGATTCAGTCAATTGCTGAGGGAATATATACAAAGAACATAATTGTGTCTGTATTTAACATATATAGATGTTTTCTTGTCATTATCCTCTAATTATATAGCATTTACATTATATTATATTAGGTATTATAAGTAATCTAGGAAGAATTTAAATATGCAGGAGGATGAGCATAGGTAAATACTGATAGGTACATACTATTTCATTTTGTAGAATGGACTTGAGTATACTTTCATTTTGATATTTACAGGGATCTTGAAGCAAATCCCCCACAGATACCAAGAGACAATAGTATTTCATTTGAAGAACAGTAAAGTCTCCTGTGAATGTGGACTAAGGAGATAGTATAGGAACTAAAAATGTAGACCTAACTTACATGTGCAAAAGGAAGATATTGGTTAGATAAATTGTTGCATATCCATATAATTGAATAAAATGAAGCTATCAGAAATGAGGTCATAGAAGCATATTGATAAACATGAAGTACATTCAGGATGCAGTTTGGCATCATGCATAAGACTGCCATGCTGGGAAAATAGGTGGAACCGGGAACAAAGAAGGCCTTGTCTGCTGCACATAGGATCCTGAGCTTTTTCTGTAGGTACTGGTAAGCCATGGAAGGATTTAAAATGGCAGATCAAAGCCATTTTAGACAGATCCTTGTAGCAGTGTGCCTGGAGGTTGGAGACTAGTGAAGATATTATTGTAGTGGTCCTGAGGGAGATGATGTGGGCCCAAACATCTGAACATTAGGGGAAAAGAGCCTTAGGACAGATTTTGGGCAGCCCAAGGAATTAATCTTTCTTTTGGAGGGTAAGGTCATATGTACTTGTCTTTAGGAACACCCAGATAACTGAGTGCCCACATAGGAGGTAGAATAGAAGTACTGGTGCTAAAAGGACTGAGCCTGAGGAGGTTGTGGGCTAGGCTAAATAATACTCTTCTTTAGATGTCACTTTATTTACTTTTCATTTAGTTCCTTCATGTCCCTTCACTGCTTAACCTGGCTAACCCCACATTGAGGATGATCTGTGCTTACTGGGCCCTCTTTCCAATTACATTTCTCCTAGTACCAGCACTTCCTCCTCTGAACAAAAGCTTTCTTATTTAGATACTATGAAAATTGTGGTATGTTCAGTCTGGTGTTGGGATAATGAACAAGCTTATGGGAAACTGAACAATGATGACAGTGAACTCATATGACTGGGGACAATAATAGCAAGCAGGAAAAATGAAGGCTGAGAGGTTGGGTAGGAGAGGTGAAAACCTAGAGCCATAGCAGTTCAGAGGTGGAGGATTAACTGAGACAGCATCTGGTGGCTAGATTGGGTGCTTAGGAACTAGCTGCATTCACAGGTTTTGAGGCAGGAGAACCTCAGAGACTATGAGGACCTTTCCTGGAGAAACTAAAGGAGTATGGTATTGAATGGAACCTGTGGAATTTTCTGGGGGAAAATCAGCCCAAAAGACTTAAGTTTCATAAGGATTTAAGAATTACAAGCACCCACAAGACTGGGGTATGAGGCAGATTGGCATGATAATGAGCCTGCTTTTGCCGAATGCTGAACTCTGAAATTCATCTGCATAAATGTGACTTGCTGTCTTGTTCAGTTTGTATTTGGGGATGTCTTAGAGTGTAGAGTGTAGATCTTGGGAACTGTCTGGTGGCATAGGCTTGAGTCATTGGGGTGAGTCCCTGAGCCCCATGTGGTCAAGGGACTGGGGTAGAGTCTAAAAAATAATAAGCCCTGGCCTGGTCTGTCAGACGTTAGGTGGAAAGGGCATTAAACTTGAAGTTAGGATATAGAGGGATATCATCCGAAGGTTTGTTAGAACTCTCCCTCAGTGTCTTCATTTGTAACATGGGGTTTAATAATACAGCCCTGCCTACCTACCAGGCAATGGGGAAGTGGCAGTTCTTTGTAAGCTCCCTGCTCATGCCCTTTAATTCATGGGCTGAGCTGGACAGATTTTAGCATGAATATAGAGTAGCTAGTTGGAGCTGGGATAGGCTCAGAGTCATGCTCATCTTCCTTGTTTGCACCTAAAAGTGCCCTCTCTTCCTACTTTATTGTATCTCAAGGGATAGTTTAGTTTTCTGTCTTCTAGTCTCAAATGCATGCTACTAAAATTTGGAGGTGATTAGAAACCAACCAAGGAAGAAGGCAGGGATAATCAGGCAAGGGCTGGGGTACTTTGGGCTTCTAAATTAAAATGTTATTTTCACAAGGCTCCGTTGGCTAATAGTGACTATAGATGTGACCCTAGCATGAGAGAGCCAAGAGGTTCACTGTCACAAATTTTGAAGTTGCTAAAGGAAGTCTTAAGATCACTGAAAATAGAATATGATGATTTTGGGGTTCTTTTTCAGATCCACTCTTCTATATCTGATTTAAAGATCATACTCTTCATCTTGGTGATGGGAATAAACAGGCAATGAAGAAAGGCCAAAGTGCTGATTAGAATGACTTGGGCACATGAAAGTAACTACTGGAAACCTCATTTAGAAGCAAGACTAGATTAGCTGCCTCTAAAGAAGTTAGCTCTGTGACTGATGGAGGATAATAGGACAACCAACTGGGTTGGAACTGGAGGCTTATTCCCTGTAGTATATTTCTGGACATCTGGCAAAGGGAAAATGAGAACCAACCAAATGGAGTTATAGGGAAATTGGTCCCCAAGAATCTGCTTAGCCCACCTTACCTGTGGGTATAGAAAAGTAAGTCTTAACTGTGAGACCCAGTGTCACATTTTTACTTCTCTATTTAGCATTTTGGAAGTTTCTGGGGGTATTCCACAAGCTCAGGAAGGCTTGGCTCTTTAGAGATTCCAGAAGTACTAAGGACCTTTCCAAGGTGGCTGGGGTCCCTGTCTCCTCAGTATACTGTAGCTTCAGAGTGTAGCCTTTGATGGGCCTGATGCTGGGTAACTATGTGCAGCCTTCAACTTGGTCCTTTGCCTAAGGTGAGTAACTTTACTGCTGGATCAGGGGTAAAGAATACCAGCTTTATTTCTTTCTTGCACTGCTCCTAAGGGGGTGGGCTAGGGAGTGGGAATAAGGTAATGTTTGCATAATGAAAATTCCAAGTCTACAATCCTTATCCCAAACTAGGAAGGACAGATATATTTAAAAAATCAGAATCAAATTATTATTTTTATGGTAGAATATTTGACATATATTTTCAGGGGGCCCTGAAACAGCACTCTACAATCAAATTATTATTTTTATGGAAAATATGACTGTTTACCATGTGAGGTGGAAATAAATAAGGGTAAATAATAAATAAGGGTAAATAGCCTCACCTCCATTCAAGTCATGTTTTGCTACCACCTCCGATTTGAAAAAAAAAAAAATTTCATTTTGAGAGCTTTTTGGATTTGCCATTAAAGGATTGTAGACCTGTAATTATCCTTGGCTTTGTACTTTTAATCAAATTGATCCACAGGGGGAAAGGCACATTCTCTCTTGATGGCTTTTTCGTTGGAGGGGTTCTTTGATAAGGTATTGTGCAGGTGATGGACTCTGGGTCCTGTTCTTTTTAAGACCCCTTCTCTTCCATCCTTTTTCTTCTTCTTGGCAGGCATTCAAGCTGCCAAGCAAGTGTGTTTCCTTAATAATTTTCCTTATAGAACCCCCCCTTTTTTTTCTAAATGTAGACCCTGAGAGAAGGAAATGTTTAAAAACATACACATGACAAACCCAACTAGTCCATAATGCAAATAATACACATTCATCAGAGCTCTCAACAAGATAAGGACATATATTAGTGATTTCCTAAATATCACCTTTGAGTCCCTGTAGGTAAAGGAACTTCACAAACATGAATTTCATTCTTTTGTCTGCCTCTTAGTTCTGCATAATGTCTTGCACCCATCATAGTTCAGTCCAAGATCAAACATAGAGCTTATAGCAGGGGTTCAGCTCCTGGAGCTTTTATTAAATATGCAGATTCCTGAGGTCCCAGACTTGTGCAATCAGAATACTTAATGGGAGAACCCAGGGATTTGCATGTTCAACAGCAAGTTTTGCAGCAAATTTTTTTTTAAAATCTCTTCATGAAACATTTGAGTTATTGCCACATAGGTGAAAGTCAAAGGGCTGTGGGTTTTCAAAGGTTGTAATCCAGGTTTAGATCACACCAAGTAGCAGGGAACTGATTGGTGTCTTAGAAGTACAAGATTCTTTTAGTTTGGTTTCACCTGAGAAGAGAATGAAAGAGTAAAAATCATCTAGGCATGCTTAGAAACAAAAGAATCAAATCAGAGGGAGATTTGGAACCTGGGGGTGGTATTTTGATAGGGTTGCCACAGAAAATAGAGGATACTCAAGTTAAATCCAAATTCCAGATAAACAGTGAGCAATGTTTTAGTATAAGTGTTCAATGTAATATTGAAGACCAACTTTTACTAAAACATTATTCATTGTTTATCAGGAAATCAAATATAACTTGGCGTCCTGTATTTTATTGCTAAATTTGGCAGTGCTGGGTATTGATAAACCCACTTTCCCCCACGGGAGGCAAACCAGATGGCATATGTATGCGTGTTTCATGCTCAGAATCTATTTTTACATGCCCTGGGTTAAAAGCTTCTAAGACTGACTACTTGTGTCATTGAAATTAAAGCATTGAAGAATTGAGTCTTGTCACTTTCTCACATAGACACACATTCTCTCTCACACATTTGCACACACATGTGTATGTGTGTGTAAACACAAACATGGACTTTGGAAAACCACCTTCTTGCCTTTTAAATTTTTTACATTTATTTTTTAATTCATACATCAAAACATAAAATTTTACCTTTTTAATTTTTATATTATATTTTTTGTATATGTTAGCGTTTTGGTTATTTTTTGTGTTATAAAAGTGACACCATCTCACTGTGTCTAGCATTTCTCTTGCTAACCATTCTTAATTCTTCAATTGCAGATCTTCCTCCTGGCCTGTCCTCCAAGTCCGGGAGCTATCGTGGTCTTCAAGTAAGAGAAAATTGTTTTTTGCTTTATTACCATTGCTCTTCAGTCTGTTTTGTCTATTTGATAACAAAGGATGATACGCTGTAAACACCTTGGCTTATACTACCTTATCTCTGGGTTTCTCCAAGGAAGAAAAGTCTGTAAGGGCCCATGGAAACAGGAAAATGCTCTGTGTTGTCATGTGGTTTTAGCTCTGACAAATCCTTTCTAGCCAATAGAAAGTGTCAAAAATGAATGACAACTGGGGATATAACTCAGTAGTAGAGTTCCCCTGGATCAATCCCTAATACCAAAAAAAGAGCATCCCATAACCTCTGTGAGCCTCATTTGCCTTTCTGAAAAATGGAGATGATAATAGGACTGCATCCTTGAATTGCTGTAAGGGTGAACGGATTGATCCATAAAAAGGACTCAACAACAGTGCCTCATATTTATGTAAATGTGATGAAGTAAGAGCTACTATTACTGTAGAGACAAGGCACAAGGGATATGTGACTTGTTTTCCTTTATTTGGTTTCTCTGTCTCGTAAGATGTAAAGACATAGGAAAAACAGAAAAAATCAAATATAACCCCTACCCAAGATTACAGACCTGAGTTTCCTGTACATGATAAATATGGAGTGTACAGTTTCCTGCAGTGATTGAAAGAAGGGCTTCAGCAATTAAGCACACAGGCTAGGTTTGGATGAGCTTCCTTATTTATAGCTCTGTGTTCTTGGGCAAGCCTCTGAGTCTATTGTATCTTCTGTAAAATGGATAGTAGTACCTACCATAGGGATATTTTCTTCTGGAAAAAAAAAACAGGAAAAGAAATACGGTAGTGGGATCACAAAAATTAAAGGGAGATCAGTAGAGTAGAGGAAAGGGACCAGGTAAAGGAGGAAGGTAGGAAAAGGGGAAATATTGAAGGATGATATTGGCAAAATTCCAAGTGTTACATTGTGTGTATATACATAAATATGTAACAATGAATCCCACCATTGTATATAACTGTAAATGCACCATAAAAATATGTAAAAAAAAAAGAAGGTATGATAGGTTGTATGGCCAAGGCTTGTTTGCTTGGAAGTTTTTGCCCTCCTAAATTTATTCTTAAGAGTGTTCTGGTGGCCAGATAGCATCTTTCCCCTGAAATGCTTTTGCAGTATGATCCATCTACTCAACTGAGAAAGTGTTGCTTTATATTGAAGGACACGGTTCTTGTTTTTATGAGTTTTTTTCCACATTTTTATGGATGCATTATAGTTGTACATAATTGTGGGATTTATTGTTCAATATTAGTACATGCATACAATGTAACAATATAATTTGGTTATGAGTTTTATTTTCAAATGAAAGTTAAAATGAGAGAAAAATATCACCTTAATACAAGTCCTAACTCTTAAAAATAGCAAGAATCAAATCTATTAAAGTATTTTGCAAGCAAATATTGTTTCTCTAAAGGCAAGTTTACTTAATGAAATTATCTAGAGTCCTGGAACCCTCATTTTAACCATGAATTGTGACCATCTCACTTGTCAAACCTTTTATTGGAGTTGCTAATGAGAAGCTGAATCAACTGAATTAATTTCATCTCTTTTGCCCTTCCCTGGCCCCCATTTCAGAGCTACTCGTGAGCAGTGAAATGGCCTCAAGCCAGAGGAAGGGAACAAGAAGTAAAGAGCTTGGCAGATCCTTGGATAATTGAGAGTGGTGTAAATGGCTTTCTGATTTACTTAAGTCATTAAAGTGTTAGGTAGGGGAAAAAATACCCCATTTGCTGCTTCAAATAGCTCTTTGAAATAGCCACTTAGTCTCTTGCCTTAGGTGAGTAACTTTCTGCTGGGTAAGGGGTAATGGATTCTGATTTTAGATATTTGTTACTTGGACAGCTTCTAAGGGATAGGGGATTTAACCCTGTCACCCTCTCCTTGATTTTCCAAAATGAGCTCAGTTATTCTGTGTAATGTTTTTAAAGTCACATTTATTAGTATTATTTCATTATGATGAAAGAAATAATTCATATCATAGAAAATACAGACACAAAGAACTGAATAAACATCACCCCAATCTTACTCTCAAAAGATAATTTTGGTTATTCCCTTCCTTTTTAATAAGCAGAGGTCAAATTGTATATTGGGGTTTTTATTGTATCTTTTCTAAATTTAATTTAAAATTTATTTATAGATTTATGCACATGTATGAATATACATAATATGATTTCTGGACTTATTTTTTATGGTGGTTGTTTTCTTTTCCTTTTTGTGATTGGCTCCTAGTTCTATCTTTTTACACCATAATTTCCAAAGCAATATGCATTCTTTTATGTTCTTCTTCATGGACATAGGAACACACACACACACACACACACACACACACGCACGCACACACTCATAATTGTGTAGATTGTGGTATATTTTTGTTGTTGTTCATTGTTCATCTTACAGTTAGAGTCTTATATATACCTTAACATATCTTTTTCCACTCAATAATATCTCATGAAATCTATTAAACCCTATTAATATAGATCTTATTCTTTTATAAAGCTGCAAATTATTTCACAGAAATAATAATTTATCTAGTCATTCCCTTATTAATGAACATTTACTTTCTTTCCAGATTTCTGCTGCTAAAATCCATGGTGAAATAAACATTATGCATGTGGCCTTATATACTGTTGATTTAAACTTGTAGATGGATATATATGAATGTTTATATATAAATATGTTTGTTAACAGATGATGCCATATTGATTTACAAATCAGGCTGTTATACTTTAATTTTTGTTTTTGTTTCTAATATATGAGATTATTATTTTCTCTATCTCTGTAAACAATACGTGTTATGATTCTTTTATAATACGACAACCTAATGAATGTATTTCCTTGGCTACTAATGAATTTCAGTATACTCATTTCTTTTTTATTGTTCAATTAAACTTATTCTTTGAATTCTCTATTCATATCATCTGCCCATTTTCCTATGGATTATTTATATTTTCCTCAATTGGTGAGATGTCCTTTACATTTTAGCTGTTGGCCTTTTATCTGTCATTATTGTTTGCTCATGGATATAGCTATATAATTTCTTTAAATGATGTAACTTTTTATAGCTTTATTTTATTCATTTATTTTTTTATGTGGTGCTGAGAATTGAACCCAGGGCCTCACATGTAATAGATAAGTGCTCTACCACTGAACCATAACTTTGGCCCACATATAATTTTTTTTTTACATTTTTTTCATATCCAAAGATGATTCTCTTTATAACTTCTGGATTTCTAGTCATGTTTAAGATTGTTTTATCAAAAATAGAAAACAGATGTGCTAGAATAATATATTAACTCCTACTCTGTAAACCGAATAGCCATCTTTGTTAATCATTAAATGTTTTATATACTAGGGTCTATTTATTGACTTTCTATTCCATTTTATCTATTTGGCTTTTTTTTCTTTCTTTCTTTTTTCTTTTCTTTTCTTTTTTTTTTTTGTGTGTGTGTGTTGGGCCTTGAATCCAGGGGCACTTCACAACTGAACTACATCTCTAATCCTTTTTATTTTTTATTTTGAGACAGGATCTTGCTAAGTTGCTGAGGCTGACCTTGAACTTGCAATCCCCCTGCCTCAGCCTTTCTAGTCACTGGAATTAGAGATATGCACCACTGCACCCTGCACTATTTATCTGTGTTTTATTTTAATCAAAGTCACAGTGATTTGATTGCATTAGCTTAAAATATTTTTGGCTATTCTTTGGCACTTTTTCCTAAATAAGCATTTTAAGATCATTTTAGCCACTACCCACCAAACCTATTAGGATTCTAAATATAATTACATTAAATGTATAATTTAGTTTTTATTATATTGTTATTTTAATCTAAGAAATAGTATTTTCATCTATTCAGATCTTGTTTTATATCTTTCAGTTAGATCTGTCCTTTTCTTATCTAATCTAAGCCTTTGTTGATTCATTTATTCCTCAAGAACAGCTGTGTTCTCTGTTATGCATGTAATATTTTTCCCCTTTCCAAGTGCTTCCTGCTAAAATAGAAAAATATTATTAATTTCAAAATATTTATCTTATGTTTTATGTTACTAATTTTTTGTTAGTTCTGCTAAATTTTTATTTTTTTCTTTCCAGTGGTTTTAAGTTATTTCATTTTCTTGTTGCATTTATATGAAACTCAAAGAGCTATTTTTTTTTAAAAAGGTGCTGGTAGACTAGTCTGCCTAAAAGTGTTTATAAATTGAGATATTTTCTGTGTTCCTCCTTATTTGCTGTTGATGTTTATTATTTTATTATATTTAATTTATTTATTTACTGAAGATATTATTTAAAGAAGGAATTATTTCTGTATTTTATCAAATGCTTTCTTAACATCTGTCGATCATGCTGGTTTTGTTTTTCATTTAAGTTTTTTGTTGTTTGTTTTTGCAGTGCTGGGGATGGAACCTAGGGTCTTGCACATGCTAAGCAAATGCTTTATCACTGAGCTACACTCCCCGCCCTCATTGAAATTTTTGATACAATGAATTACGTTGATGGATTTTCTTGTTTTGAACTACTCTTATGTTACTAAAATGAACCCACTGTTCATAGTGCATTATTATTTTGATACATTGCCAGAGTTAATATTTTATTTAGAACCTTGCTTCAGTAAACATGAGTGAGATTGGAGTCTTTTTTTTTTTTGTATTCTTTTCATCAGTTTTTGAGGATTAAGTTATTGTGATTATGTAAAATGTACAACTGAGTGCTTTTTCTTTCTCTCTGGTCTATAATACTTTATTAACCCTTAGAAAGTATGTGTCCATTAGCCAGGCACAGAGGCATATGCCTGTACTAAGCAACTAAGGAGGCTGAGGCAGGAGGATCACAAGTTTGAGACCCTGGGGCTGAAGATGTGGCTCAGTGGTTGAGCAATCCTGGGTTCAATCCCTTGTACTGCAGAAAAAGAAAAGACAGAAGGAAGAAATTATGTGTTCTTTAAAGGTCAGATGAAATTCACCTGTAAAGCCTATCTGTTC